CACCCCTTATACCAAAAACCTCTAAAAAAAAAAAAAAAACAACCTTAAAAAAAAATTTAAAGAGATATTGTCAAAAAAAGAGAGACCCTGTTGAGAAGGGCCCTCTCTCTATCTGTCTCTCCCTATGGAAGAAATAAACTTTTGTGAGAAGTAAACATAATGAAATATTGATGCCTGCTAATATATCTCTCTCTGCCTTTCTGGAAAGTGCACGTGCCCTATAGCAAAAATCACTGAAAAAAAAAAAAAAAGAAGAAAAAAAGATGGGGACCAGCAGGTGGCGTGGTGGTTAAGGTGCTGGACATTCCCACATGGCTGACCACGGTTCAAGTCCTGGACCTGGTAGCTTGCTTTCTCACTTTCTCTCTCTCTCTTTCTCTCTCTCTCTCTGGTCAAATTAAAATAAATGAATGAATAAATAAAATTAAATTTTAAAAAATCTTAAAAAAAAAAAAGAAAAAAAGATGAAAAAAACAACGACCCGAAATGGAGGGGCTGGCAAGCAGCATAGTGGTTGGGGCACTGGACTCCCACATGTACTGAGCGTAGTTTGAGTCCTGGACCTGGCAGCTTGCTTTCAAGCTATCTCTCTCTCTATCTCTGTGTTTCTTCAGTCAAACTGAAGAATAATAACAAAAATTTAAAAATAATTCCTTTCTTTTTTTGTGAGATTTTTGATATAGGGTGCAACCACTCCCTGGAGAGACAGAAAGTGACAAATCACTGGCCGGAGGGATGGCCACACCGTAACAATCCCTTCTCCAGTCTCCTCTTGAGATTTTGCACACACACGCACGTGCACCTGGTGTGAGTTTTAAGCCACCAGGTCCGGGACGCAAACCATGGTTGTCTACATGAGTCCAGCAACAGAACCATTATACCATCTACTGGTCCCAAATCAATAATTCTTCTAAAAAAAAAAAAAAAAATGATATGGCCAGCAGGTGGCGTGGTGGTTACGGGCGCTGAACTCCCAGGACCTGGTGGCTTGCTTTCTCACTTTCTCTCTCTCTCTCTCTCTATCCCTCTCTGGTCAAATTAAAATAAATAAATAAATGGATAAATAAGTTAAATAAAATAATTTTTAAAAATATGGAAATATTGGGACCAGTAGTTAGCATAATGGCTATGTTGCTGAACTCCCATGTAGTCGACCACGGTTCGAGTCCCGGACCCAGCGGCTTAAACTCACCCCAGGTGTGTGTGCATGTCCAAGATCTCGAGAAAGACTGAGAGAGACAGAGAGACAGAAAGTGAGAAATCACCCCCCCCCCAGGGGGGATGGCCACGTCACAATCCCTTCTCCATTCTCCTCTCGGGATCTTGGGCACACATGCACACGTGCCTGGCGTGAGTTTAAGCCACCGGGTCCGGGACTTGAACCGCGGGCGGCTACATGGGAGTCCAGTGACATAGCCATTACGCTAACTGCTGGTCCCTTTAATAAAGTAATTATTTAAAAAATGGAACTATTAAATTCCCATAACTTAAATTTAAAAAGAAGTGCTGAACACCATTTACAGTGGTATGTTACTGTTTGAGGATAGGAGAGGTGAAAAAAGAGCAAACAGCGTATTCAGAGAGAGTGAAATGTTCACAAAAATCGTGGAAAGAGTAATCAAGAAAGTAAAAAGAGTGGCTATGTGCACGTGGCAGCAAGCTGGACCGGGCAAGAGTGGAAGGGAGACTTCTTCGACACAGTATTGTATCCTCTGACGTTTGAATCATGTCTGCGCATCGGCTACTTGAAAGGATTCGAGTGAAGGCAGCTTCATGCCTTGGTTGTTAAGAGCACCATGTCCGAAGTCACCGCCGGTGCTGGCTCAGCCTCTGTGAGTCTGAGGCAGTTCCGGCCTCCCTGCATTTCTGTATCCTCATCCTCAAACACCACACCACCTGCTAGCCCCTCTATTAAGTTTTTGTTAACTTTAAAAAGGTGGGGGTTGGGACCAGCAGATGACATAATGGTTATGTCGCTGGACTCCCACATGATAGACCCACAGTTTGAGTCCTGAACCTGGTAGCTTGAAACTCATGCCAGGCGCCTGTGCATACGTGCCTAAAATCTCAAGGAGAGAAAGGAGAAGAGATTGTACCGTGGCCATCCCTCCTGGGTGGGAGATTTCTTGATTTCTCTCTCTCTGTCCCTCTCTGTCTCTTTGGCAAGAGAGGGATAGCAAAATATTTGCTCCACAGCAAAAAACTCTCTTAAAAAAAAAAAAAGGACCAGCAGTTAGCGTAATGGCTATGTCTCTGGACTCCCAAGTAGTTGACTGTGGTTCGCATTCCAGACCCAGTGGCTTAAAAGTCACACCGGGTCGGGAATCAGCAGTTAGCATAATGGCTATGTCGCTGGACTCCCACGTAGTCAACTGTGGTTCGCATCCCGGATCCGGTGGCTTAAACTCACACCGGGTGCGTGTGTGTGCGTGCCCAAGATCCCGAGAGGAGAACGGAGGAGAAGGGATTGTGGCATGGCCATCCCCCCTGGGGGATGATTTCTCGCTTTCTGTCTCTCTGTCTCTTTCTGTCTGTCTGGCGAGTGCACGCGCCCTATAGCGAAAACCTCTCAAAAAAAAACAAACAAACAAACAAAAAAAACAAAACAAAAAAGGTGGAGGATTGTGCGAAAGCTCAGACATGAAGGAGGGAATACAGACGATCTTCAGCAACTGGAAAACGAGGCAGCGATGTTCAGGGGACAATGTGTTAACACTGGGATCCAGAAGGAAACAGTACGTGGCTGCTGGGGGAAGCCCAGGAAGCAGAGAAGATCCCCTCGGGATGTGGGAAGACAGTTGAGGACCGAGCTCGGTGAACGCAGACACTGAGGGGCAGGGAGGAGGCGAGGCAGAGTGTAGGTGGCCGTGAAGAAGCAGTGGAAGACACAGGAGAAGCGAGGCCGGGGGCGCCC